GCAGTTTTGTTTCTTGTTTTCCACGCACCCCAAGGGTTCATTTTAAGCAGGGTTTTGAGGTTTGACTTTCCATGGAAGTGAGTTTTCCAGATATGGTGAGAATCAAAACTTTTAACTATAATTTTTAAGGAGAGCATTGTAAAATACACAACACATGTTTTATCAAGTAAAGAATAAAGAATGTGGGTGAATATTTTCGGGGTAACCTGGAAACCTTTTGTTCCTGCACTTATGGCCTCGTCTTACAAGAAATTACTTACTTACAGTGTATATGTATGCATATGAACACACATGTGTGTTCATGTGTGCAGCGGTCAGAGGACAACTGAGGTGGCATTATGTTCCCCAAAATATTGTGCACCCTAATAAACTTATCTGGGGTCAGAGATAGAACAGCCACAATATTAAACATAGAGGTTAGGCAGTGGTAGCACACACCTTTAATCCTAGCATTCCAGAGGCAGAAATCCATGTGTTCAAGGATACAGCCAAGCATGGTGACTCACGCCTTTAATCCCAGAAAGCAAGCTTTTAATCCCAGGGAGTGATGGCAGAAAGCAGAAAGGTATATAAGTGTGAGGACCAGAAACTAGAAGCATTTGGCTGGTTAAGCATTTGGCTGGTTACGCTTTCAGGCTTTCAAGCAGCAGTTCAGCTGAGAGCCATTGGGATGAGGACACAGAAGCTTCCAGTCTGAGGAAACAAGACCAGCTGAGAAGTTGGCCAGATGAGGTTAGCTGTGGCTTGTTCTGTCTCTCTGATCTTCCAGTGTTCGCCCCAAATACTTGGCTCCAGGTTTGATTTTATTAATAAGAACTTTTAAGATTCACGCTACAGACAACCCCTTGGAATCAGTTCCCCTTTTACCATGTGGGTCCAATGTTAGGATCCTGCTCTCACTCCTCTGGGTCTGGCGACTTACGTCATCAGTGGACGCGGTGACTAGTGGTCACACAATCCCCACCTTAAAAAGCTGGACGCAGACCCCCCACTCTCTCTCTCTCTGTTTCCTTTCTCTGCTCAGCTCCCCCACCCCACCCACCCCCACTTCCCTCCCCTACCAGGCCTGGCTCCCCTCTTTCTTCCTCCACCTTTCCCTAATAAAGCTCTGAAAACTAACATTGGGTTCTGCCGTGGCCTGTGACTTTTCCACCGGTCACCAGTGCCACTTTACTATCATCCAGGGGCTAGAACTCGGGTCAGCAGACTTGAGTGGTAAGCCTTAAACCCACTGAGCATTTTGTAGGCCCCAAGGCCTCTGTCTTCACGGGACTTTCACCCTTCCCCTCAGCTCTGGCCCCACTTCACAGGCAGTGTGTGAACGCAGAGCAAGAAATGAGCAAGAGTGGCAGTGGGGTGGCAGCTGGCAGCCTGCACTGTGAGGGTACTGTCTGTCAGGCCCACACTCGGGGGCTTCATGCTCTCTGCTCACACTTTAGCGCTTGGAGTCAAGAAACTCGCTGGCCTGCGCTAACAAGAGCAGTGGTTTCCTTCTGTCAACTGTCACCTGCTGGAATCCAAGCTTCTCCGGTGGCCACATGGCCAGTGGTGGGGCCAGTGTCTATGACTCCATTTGCTCAGCTGTAAACCAGGGTCGACGCCATGATAGCTGGTGACTGTGGCAGCCAGATGAATCTGCTTGTCAGGACAGACTTACTTTCTCCTCTCTGGCCTTCCCACCTCCACAGCCAGGCACGTTCCAATCAGGAACGAGCTATCTGGATTATTGGAACTGTAAGTCTTGGGCTCCCCCGTCGCTCACTTTGCAGCCAAGCTCAAGCATTTCCACAGGCTAGGCCCACGGCTGACTTCAAGACTCCATGGAGCTCAGGGTGACCGCAGGGACTGCTGGTGTTTCCTTGATGGCTTCACAGAGTGGAAAGCTCTTGGGAGAATCTGACATGCTACTATTGAGGGACTTCACCAGAACCTCACACTGTTCCGGCAGGGCTGGCCCTTCACCATGTACAATTCATTCATTCATTCATTCATTCATTCATTCATTCATTCATTCATTCATATGTGTGGGGTACATGTGGCGTGGTACAGGTGTGGAGGTCAGAGGACAGGCCATGCGTGATAACAGCAAGTTCCTTAATGTATTGAGCCATTTATGTGGGCTCTGGAGGTTACTTCATCTCAGTTTTGCACCTCAGTTTTTCCAGCTGTACATTGGGGTGGTGTGGTGAGTACACCCAGCCCTTCACCTCCATGAGGGTTCAACCTACAGATGCTCAAACATGTTCCCCCAAATGCGTGCATCTGTACTGAGCAGGGACAAATTCCTTAGACTATCTCTACAGCACTTTCATGGTATTAAAGATTATAAGTCTAGAGAGGGTTTAAAGTACATGGAAAGACATACAGGCATTATATCGCAACAGTACACCATTTTATGTGATCAACTTGAACATCCTCAGAGTTTGGTATCATCTGAGAATCTTTGAATCAATGAGTTTTGGATACCATGGGCTGAGTCTGCCTGGGATGGGTGTTCCATATGCTAGTGTGGATGGGTGTATACCACACCCTGGGCTGTAAGAGCATATCCATGGCAAAGGTTGTGATAAGGGATCTTGGTTCATATGCTAATGCACATGGGTAGCCTAATTGAATTTGTACCAGAGAGTGCATTTGCCATTATACTCGCAATTGGGTCAGGGCCATGTGACAGTGATGGCCAAGGCATGTGGGTGGAGACAGAGTGGCGGTGGCCTGAACAACATCCCCAGTTGTCCTCCTGCCTTGTCTTCTCCAGAACAGCTGGCGACCTCTCCAGAGAGGGAAGAGCCCACATTGGAAGCAACTAGAGCCACCCTGAACTGCCACCTGCCTAACTATGTGAGTACATCCTGGGGAAGCTGCTGACACCTGCCGGCTTGCTCATTTCAGGTCTGCCTAGCCTGACTGAAATAGGAACATAGCACTGAACAGAATACAGGACTTTTAAAGCTAAAACAAATGAGCCTTCCATAAGTGACTGCTTCTGACCTGTCAGTCGATGGCCTACTTCCCCAGTACAACCAGGGACAGACCCCGTGACCCACTGAGGCCAACAGCTGCTGACTCTGGAGAGTGCCAAGTGAGGGGCCAGTTGTTCCCACTGCACGTCACGGTACTCCTTCAAACTGATTAGTTACAAACTCAGCGTGGGCCTTCAAGAGTCCTCAGAACTGCTCAGTTGGGGAAAAGAAATGCCTGCTGTAATGGACTGAGAGTGCTGTCCTGTCCCTCCGGAAGTCAGCTGACGAGTGCTTGCTCCAGCGTGATGCTATGAGAAGGCTTGGACTTTGGGAAGTCAGTAGAGCATGAACAGGATCGGTGCTCTTACGAAAGGACCCCAGACTGCTGTCACCCTCTTTCTGCCACACAAGGATACAAGGAGGAAGAAGAGAGCAGCTACAGCCTGGAAGGCCCTCATCAGAACTTGACTGTGCTGGCATCCTTTCTGATCTTGGAATTCCAAACAGGAAGAAATAAATTCCCACTGTTTATAAACCTTTCAGCTTATGGTACTTTTGCTGCAGTGAACTAAATAGATTCAGTTACCCTGGCCAGCAAGAGGCTGGCGGGGCTAGAGGTCTCGGTCATGGCTGGATTCCGGTGGCTGGCAGAAGCCCCTGTGGTCACAAACTTGGGCCCCCAGCTCTAGAAAAGCCTGGAGTTCTCCTCACAGACGGGAGTTTCGAAGACAGGAGAGTGCTGGAGCCTTTCGCTGTTGTGTGCCTGCGGGTGCACAGCACAGGCCCCTTGTGTGACAGTGGAGTGGCAGCTCCGTTGGCTCAAGGGGTGGGCCAAGAGCTGGCTCTAGCTTCTGTCCTTCATGAAGAGGCTTACCTCACACCCCTGACTTACAAGGTAGAAGGATAAGAGCCCCCTTTGGGCCCCCTCATTTGTAAAGGAACAGCCACGCACACTGTTTTACAATGAACTCCTTACACGGTGGGGGTAATATGCCAGAGCTGCTTGGGTTAACAACAGAGGTGGGCCTGACCCTCTGAGGGAGTGCCATTACGTGCCCAGGGCTCTGGGGGAAGGCAGCTGGGTGAAGAGCCTCTCTGGTCTGGACAGCCTCAATTCCAAGCCCCAGAGATGTACCCTGGGTGCAGAGGACCCAGGTAACCATGCCAGGGTAGCCTTGCATGCTGTCCTGCCATTTTCCTCACATAACCGGGGGACTCCTGGTGGGCAGACCTGGGTTTCTCCACTAGACAGTGGAGTGGCAAAGAGCCATGGGCTGTGACGGGACCCCGGGACCAAGGAGGCTGTCACATGGTGGGAGTACAAGGCATGTGCGGGATCGAACGTTCTAGGGGGCTGTCGGTGTGCACAGCCTGCCCAAGTGGCACAGGGGCCCTGCAAAACGAATGCTTCTCTGAAGCCACTGGGGTGCAGTGGAGAGTTCCAGGGAGCTGGGGGTCTCACTTTATTTTTAACTCTAGGCCATCTGCTTCCCACTTCCCACCGGGTGGGCCACAGTCTGGGAAATATTCAGAGTGAACATATGCTGCTCCTGGGGTGGGGTGGGGGTGGGGTGCTGGGACGAGGTGTGTGCAGGGAGTGGGGGTGGGGGGCTCTGTTCTCAGGTATGCCAGTAGGACTCTGTGGCCTCCTTGGTGACAGGAGATGACTTGACATGCAAGGAGCTCAGAGAGCAAACCTTCTCTCAGGACAGGCGTCCATGACAGGTGGCCAGCTTCTAACAGGGCCCACCCTGCTGAGAGAGACTGTTCCTCAGGCAGATTGAGGTTTGGAGGATTTCCCGAACTCCTTCCTCTGACGCCCCCAGGACTTCATGGTTCCCTAGAGTCAATAGCTCTCAAGCAAACATCAATCATGAGGGGAGAAAAAAAATTAAAAGGTGCCCTTTGCTTACCAATTGACCCCAAATGAACAAACATTGTCTCTCCCCCTCAACCACCCCCAGGCAGGTTTGCTGTCAAAAATTACCACACAAAAGAAACTGTAATACTCTCGCTGTTTAGACAATAAGCCTGTGGTTAGTGACACTCAGCTTCATTTTATTATTGCATTTTACGAAGTTACCAAGACAACTGAGGCTGTAACAGAGCCTTGAATACATGCGCCATGAAAATTTAATAAAGAATTTTGAAAGGCTTAAGAGGTGGGAGTGGCAGGGGGAGGGGAGCCGAGGTCTCAGCAGACTTCCAGGAGCCTCCCCTGCCAGGGCTCATGGCCTGGAGCAGTGTTTCCCCGGCATCTGTGGGCATCTGTGGCTTTCAGCATATGGAGACCATACCTTCCTCAGCAGACGTTTGTGAAGACACTTCCCAGGTGCCAAGTCTCAAGCCAGGCTCTTTGGGTCCACTCTGACATGATCTCTGCTGCACAGAAGAGGGATGGGCGTGAAGGTGGAAAGCCACTGGTTCTTGGCCCCTCACCAACCGTGCACCAGACCAAGCAAGTTCCCACTCCCGTCAGACTCCCAAAGCCCCGTCCTTCCAGAGGAGACAGGCCTCCTTTGGCTTCTCCGTTCTCATGTGAGACAGGGAAAAATCTCTGCAGCCCAACTGAGGCCTGGGGGAGTCGTGATGGCCCTGGGCACAGTCTGTTCAAATGCTTCCCCTTCTTGTGGAGGAAAAGTTTCCCAGGGGCTTCTGGGTGAGGAGGTTTTGTGAAAACAGGGCCACGAAGAGCCTGCTTTCCTCCGTTTTCCAGATCAGACTCGGAACAAAAAGCCAGAAATGAGGAAAACATTAGTGACTTTATCATTTTATGCTGAGGCTCAGTGTGTGTGTGTGTGTGTGTGTGTGTGTGTGTGTGTGTCTGCATGTGTAAGTGTAAATAGAGGCAGCATGTTTTTTCCAGTTAAAAAGAAAGCAAGACTTTGGTGATGAGAGGAGGCAACTGAAAAGCCTTCTGCAGACAGAGTTTCTTTGTCTCTGAAAACAAGAAAAAAGATTGCACTATTTTGTGAGAAATAGTGTGTGGGAAAATTTCACTCACATTCATCAAATGAAATGGGAGAATGGCAAAATTATCAATGGAGGCTAGGTAGGTTTTAGGCTACATTGCTCACGGGTGAAATTCCCTCATGGAGTGTGGACAGCTCTCTGCCTCTGGGAACACAGCTCCCAGATGAGGGCTCATGAGGCCTGAACCTCAAGAGAAGGCACCCAAAGCCAGCCCAGTTCTCACTTACCTCTGAGGAATAAAGGACCCTAATCAAAGAAGGAAGGTGTGTGTGTGGTGGTGTTTGCACCGTTTTAGAGTAGTACTCTGTCAGTCACGAGGCCAACCCCAGACATCCGAGGAGCGGCAGGGCCTTTTTCCAGCCCATGAATATCTTCAAATATGTGCAGATGAAAGGCAGCCGGGGGGTGGGGTGGGGTGGGGTGGGGTGGGGTGGGGTGGGGTGGGGTGGGGGTCTCACTTCGGCTTCATCCATCTCCATGAACATTATTCAAGGAAACTTTTTGTCATCTTGCCTAACGTTCCTAAAATTCTGAGAGAAGACATCACCCACATTTGGGTGGTGGAGGACCTGGAGCCCTTATAGTCTCCGTGGCCCCCAGGGTCTTCCTTGGGGGCCCAATAGTATAAGTTGGAAGGACCCAAGTCCCTAGAATTCCCAGGTATGCTCTGATGGAACATGCAGCTTCCCTGCCACATGGGCTGCCACGTCTGCTCAACTGGGCTTTGGAAGGGTGTCAGAAGGACTGGTGACAGTCCTTGCCTTTCACTGGGTAGCTTGGAGGATCAGACAAGAAGAGAAATTTAAAAGAAACCTTTGAACTGTGAAGCACCAAGAACATGTTCATTCACACAGAAAAGGAGTCTCTAGAATAATCTAGAAAGGCATGGAATGTTTTTCAAATGCCTGTCCAGCTCCACTCCTAAGTAGCCACATTCACAGCAGACTTTCTCCAAATGTGTGGTGTGACATTAGAGGGGGAGACAGGGTGGACACCCATGAGGAGCAGGTTGAAGGCCAACCGGTCTAGCAGTCCTTGGAGTGCAGGGCTGAAGGGGAGGGGTGCCCCTCAGGAATAGGCCTAGGACCTGAGCTGAAGGTCCCATGGAATCTGTCTGTGGAGAGACTCAAGGATCAGCAAAGCCATTGTCCACTCGTGGGCTCATGGGACAGCTACCATGCTTGGGGAAGGGATCAGCCAATTGGGAATCTGGGGATGTTCAGCCAATCAGCTCAGTGAAGCTTAGAAAGCTGTGATTTGTAAGGACATCCACAGCATGTGGAGAGGGGACATGTCTCCTCACCTACAGCTGCTCAGTTTCTGTCATTTCAGCAAGCACCTCTGGGTCTTAGCAGCTGACCTGGCCTCTCTCTCAAGTCACAGCTGGGTTCCCACAGATAAGCGTGTCAATGAAGGGGCTTTCTGCGTTCCTGGACATATATGGAAGAAGCTGTTCATTCTGTGAGGGTGAGGGGGATGTGGGGTGGGGTGAGCAGGGCTCTAGAGCTGAGCCTCAAGAGGAAGTTGTTTTCTATTGGCTAGAGGGATCTGACTGGACCAGGTAGAGGTAGCAGCGGCCTGCCAGGTTCTTCCTGCCAGTGAAGAAATGGCCCATTGTTTTCATGACAACAGATTCTAAGTGTGTAGGAGTCCAGAGGTCCAATCCAGGACTGTGGGGGCCTTGTGGCTCCTAGGGAAGAGGGGGGGCTTGATCAAAAGGCCCTTGACTGGGGCACTTTCAGCAGGGATTCAAAAGCTCCCTGGTGTTCTTGCTCCCTTCCAGAAGCTAGGGAGGGAGGGGTGGGGGAGACTGAGGGGTATGGAGGCAGAGGCATGGCTGTATCTGGGAGAGACTTGCTGAGGTCTGAACTAAGAAGACATAGAGTTCCCTGGGATAATATAAGGGGAAGCACACAGCCCCCACCCCCGGCACCAGGAGGCTTGTGTAGGGAAGGAAGAGGCTCCAGGAGGCGCTGATCTGCCAGGGTGGGGACGGAGTGGGCATCTGGTAGGACCAGCATTTAAACAGTTCCACTGAATCCTGGGTCCTTGTAGGCTCCTTTTGGCTAGGCTGGTGGGTCGCAGCCCCGCCTCCAACAGATGAAAAGCTGAGCCCGGTCTGCAGGCTGGGACCTCTCAAGGGGCCTCTACAGAAGGGACTTGAGCATGCGATGCTCAGCTGTGCCTGCCTGGGCTCTCTGTGCTACTCCTTCCCTGCAGGAGGAAGGAGCCATCTGAATAGCTTTCATTTCAGTCACACCTTGCAGAAGGTGAGGTCACCAAAGTGAGTCTAGATAGCTGTGCCGCTGAGAAATGGAAGTGAGGCAGAAGTCTCCTAGTGTTCACTCACAGCAGAGTGGCCCGAAATTCTGACAGTATTGGGGCGGGGCCAACTTGTCCGTAATGGGCTTCCCTAACCATCACTAGAGTCAAATCCTCAAGGGCATGAAGCCTCCCAAGGTCATGAGCAACAGACTGAGCAGCTCTGTAACCATGGAAGCAACAGTGACCTACCTCTAGATGACAGGCGTCGTAGAGAGGCCATCTCTCACCACGAATGCTGACATTTTTTGTATTACCTCAACGTGGTAATATAAAAATGTGCCCATTTCCTCTCTGCTCCGTGCTGGCAAGCACTTTGTGAAGACTCATTTTGAGAAAAAGTATCAAGTCAAAGCTCTGTTTAATAGCCCTGTACAGCTCCCGGTTGGCCAACAAGGATCCCCACAGCAGACCATTTGAGAACACTGATTGCTCTGGTCTAGAACCCCACACCTCTCCACACACTTGTGCTTGCCCTGCCTCTCTGGGCCTTGCGTTCTCCCTCTGAACCCTCCCCTCTCCCGGAGCTGACAGCACAGTGCTGGGTGGGTACACAGTGGCTCTTGGCCATTGGGTCAGCACCCCACCTTTGCTGGGGTCCCCTGGAAGCTGGACGGGAAGACTGAAGAACCCATTACTTCTTAATTATTTCTTCAATAGTAATAAATCAAACATTGCAACAGGCAAGTTAATGAAATAAGTGAGGTTAATCTGTTAAGTACACCCATATAGCACATGATTGGGGTGTCCACCATCTTGATAGTTCTGCTTCTCTCAGAGAACAGGTAGGTGGAAAGAGCTGCTGAGATCCTGAGCTCTGACCAGCAGGCTCGCAGAGGCCCCAGCAGACCCCAAGTGTGACCTCGCAGCCACAGTTCCTTGCTTTGAAATGGTCTATCCTTTCTCCCATGCTCTGCTCCCTGTGGCCCCAAGTACAGCAGAAGTGCCCCAGTTGGTGCTTCCCAGGAACCTGGAACAGTAGGTGCCATCTGTCACATCTCAGATGTCATATATCCACTGGTGACTCACAAGCAGGGTGGGTCACCACGAGCTGCCGGGAGGAGGGTGGGCAAGAACTGGCCATGTGAGGCGAGAGTCCTGCAGAACACAGAGGATTCCTGGCCATTGTAGCTGGAACCCTAGTGGTTCCCCACAGATCGGGGGAGCCCGGGGTGCTGAGCCCCCAAGAGCACACCTTCTTCCAGGAGGGTAGGGTGGTCTTCAGGACAGAGCGTGTCTAGAGTGAGGCAGCTTGTTAGCACCGATCATGCGGGGCGCAAGGCTGCCTGCAGCTGACTGGGTTCTGGCGTTCATCTCCTGGGGAGGACTGCTTTGGGGGCGCCTGCGCCGGCCGCACACTAAGCGCTTTTCGTCCAGCAGGGACAGGTGGTATTCACACAGGTCGATCAAGGAGGCCACCTGCTCATGCAGAGGCAGCATCTTGAACTTCCTCTGGGCCAGGAAGAAGAAAGCTTCAACAAATGCCTGGAGACACATCCCTGTGGACAGAGAGATACTGTCAGTGAACTCGTAGTGCCCCAGGGAGGCTCACCCGAAGCACAGTGGCCAGCAAGAGCTTCTCTGCTCACCACACCTCCATTCGGGAAACTCCACCTGAGACCAGCACACAGGACCTTCCCCATGCCCAGACACTCCGAACTTAAACAGGAAGTAGATTTAATTCTCTCTCAGAGATGGGGAAACTGAGTCTCAGAGAAGTGGGGAGACCTGAATAGAAAGCAGAAAGCAGTGGTGCTTGGATTTAAACCTTGTCCCAAATTTTATTCCTGGGTACCATGATGAAATGTCCTCCCAAGAAAACCCTGTTCCCAAACTTTCCCCATTAGAGGGGATAATCTTAGTTTCAATCCGACACAGTGCTCTCCATTCTGATACAGGTACACGCAGTCAATAGTATCTTAAGGTTTATGCATTTCACTACTTGTAAAATTTACCTCACCAACCCCCTTCTCTTTGGTTGTCATGTGACCCCCCCCCCCCCACCATCACAGGTGCTTGTGTTAAGTGCTTGGTCTCGGCTAATGGCGCTCTTTGAGAAGGTTCTGGACACTTCAGTTTTCTACCTGAAGTGCCTACCTGCAGGAATTTGGTCACAGAGGCATGCCTTTGAAGATGTCCTTGGTCCTCTGTCCCTCCACTCTTTCTTTATTTCCTGTCTTCCACAAGGTGGCTGACCTCCTCTGCCACACGCTCCTACCACCACGATGTTTTGCTCAAGTATATGGGGCCAAGCAGCCGTGGACTAGCCCTCCGAAGCTGGGCGGCTAAATCCTCTGTCTTTCTCATTAAAGCTGTCCCCTCAGGTGCATCTCTGTTACGGCTACGTGAGAAACATGCCAGTGACAGTTACGTTCTGGGATGCATGATGTACCATCCCCACCGTGCCCTGGAATGTTCTTCCTGACTGTACCTCATAAGCTCCTGCCTGTCACTAGGATTCGAGCTCAAATTTCCAAGGTTAAAATTCAGCAGTACGTTTGTTTTTCAGGGCCGGGTTCAGGATCCCAGGTCCTGTGAGGCTCCACAGGCATCTGCCACAGAGCTGGGTCCTGGCCCCGCCCGCTTCGGTGTCGAGAGACAAAGGCGAATGTAGCGCAGTTTCGGGTTTATGGATAAATGAAGAGGAAGTTCCCACGGGTCCTTGTCTCACACAGCTCATCGCAGTGTGGTCTACTCGTCACACTCTGTCAGCCAGTATGGAAGTGTCACAGGTGTGTCTGGGCCCATTCTTTGCTCTGTGCAGCTCTGTATGTTCTGGTAAAAGTGTAGAAGTCAGGTGTCTCTGACTGCTCACACGGACAGTTTCACTGGCCCCCACTCCCTGGCTTCCACCCGCCCACCATGCCTCCTCCCGCTCCAGTCCTTGGTGAAGCTCTCCTTGTTTCATTGAGTAGCTTTGCCTTTCCCAGAATGGCAGCAATAAGGCTTGTTGGTTTTGTAGTGTGGCTTCTTCCACTTAGCAGGTTCTGTCCGTGTCTTTTTGTAGCTCCTTAGCTCCCCTGCCACTGCCCTTCTCCATGCCCCCTCCCCCTCCAGCTGCTTCCCCCTCCCCCAGCTCCCCTCCCTTCTGCTTTCCATTATAGTCCATTCATTACTGGCTCTACTTCCCATTTCCCTTAAGTCTCTTTCTCCATTCTCAAGACCCTCTTTGTAGCTTTGCAAGCTATAAACACACTTATATAAACATACTACACACACACACACACATACACACAATTTTAAATTTAGGCTCTACACATGAGAGGGAATGTGAGTTATTTTTCCAGGTCAATTGAATGCATTTCCTGCAAATGTCATTGTTTTATTTTTCTTGATGTCTATATGAAATTCGGTTTATGTATGGACCATGTTTTCTTCTTTCTTTCTTTTTCTTTTTTTTTTTTTTTTTTTTTTTTGGTTTTTCGAGACAGGGTTTCTCTGTGTAGCTTTGTGCCTTTCCTGGAACTCACTTGGTAGCCCAGGCTGGCCTCGAACTCACAGAGCTCCGCCTGGCTCTGCCTCCCGAGTGCTGGGATTAAAGGCGTGTACCACCACCGCCCAGCTGGACCATGTTTTCTTTATCCATTCATTCAGCATCCATGAACATCTGGGCTACTTCCATTTCTTGATTATTTCAAAAACTTGGATGTGCAAGTATCTCTGTGGTGTTCTGAATTGGAGTCCCGCAGGCACATGCCCAGGAGTGGTACTCTAGTACTGAAGAAGCCCCATGCTGATGTACATGGTGGCTGCCTCTGTTTCCACCTGACCAGCAGTGAAGAAGCATTCCTTTTTCTAACATCCTCACCAGCGTTTGTTGTCCTATTTATTTATTTAGAGACAGAGTCTCGCTATGTAGCCTGACTGGTTTAGAACTTCTGTGGAGACCAGGCTGGCTTCAAACTCACAGAGATCCACTTGCCTCTGCCTCCTGCATCCTGGGATTAAAGTTGAGCACTATCATTCTGACTGGGGTGAGATAGACTCTCATAGCAATTTTATTTATTTACTTACTGTTTTGTGTTTGTGCATGTGTTTGTATAAGAATATATATGTAGTATGCAGGCATGTGCACCCACGTATATGCATGCATATGTTGTGGAGGTCAGAGGTCAACCTTGGGTGTTGTTCTCCAGTCGATCACAATCATTCCTGGTTTATTTTTGAAATAAGGTTTCTCACTGGGACATAGGGCTCATCAGTTAGGCTAAGCTGACTGGCCAGGGAGCCCCAAGGGTTTGCCTGTTTCCACCTCCCCAGTGCTGGGTTTCTGATCCTGTACCACCATGCCTGGCATTTCCCATTGGGGATCCAACTCCAGTCCTCGTGACTGCACAGCAGGAGCGCGCTTTACCCAGCATGCGCTTTACCCAGCATGCGCTTTACCCAGCATGCGCTTTACCCAGCATGCTCTTTACCCAGCATGCGCTTTACCCAGCATGCGCTTTACCAGCGGAGCTGTCCCCCCAGTCTCCAAAGCACGTTTAATTTCCATCTCCCTGACGGCTAAGGATACCTTTTCAAGTGTTTTACTGGCTGTTTATGCTTCTTCTTTTTAGAACTGCCTGTTCAGTTCATCATCCCATTTACTGATGGATAATTTGGGGCTTGGTGTTTTTTGTTGTAATCAATGTATCTTGTCAGATGTTCCGTTGGTGTGGATTTCCCCCATTCTGTGGGCTGTCTCTTCAGATTGTCTCTGGTGATTGCTTCCTCCGCTGTGCAGAAGCTTCCTAACTTCTGGGATTATTTCCCGTGCTGCTGGAGTCCTGTTCACGAAGTCCTTGCCTGTGTTCACACCTTGAAGCATTTTCCCTCCAACCCCTCCTCGCCCTTTTCTTGGTGGCACCTGCTGCGGCTCACTTGGGTTTGTTTTGTGGCCATCTTTCCTGCTTTTGTTTAGTTCATGGCTGTCTCCCAGCGACAGGAACCCAGAAGGTACTTAGTAACGATGTACTGGATCCGAAAGTGGATGGCTGGGTGGGTCTGTGAGCGGATGGCTGGATAGTGGATGGTTGAGTGGGCAGGTGGGTGGGAGAGTGAACATGTCAGCATGAGGTGCTTTATAGATATTGTCACTGATCCTCTTGGGTATCATTATTATGCTCTACAGATGAGGAACAAGACAGAGATGAAGTAACTTCATAAGTCACTGACAGAGAACAGTGGCCTAGGAAATCAGTTTTTAAAACCAAACTGTATTACATGAAAGGTCCAGTGTCCACATGAAAATGAACCCAGGGATCCCCAGGGAGGTGACAACTATGACCAGAGTCGGTGCCTTACAGCATGCTAGCCTAGGCTTTGCCTCCGCTCATCCACACCTGGCCTCCGGTTGCAGATACTGGCTACCCTGGGACCTGAGAACGCCTTTTGACTCGAGAGTGTGAGTGGGGAAAAAGGCTTTTGTCTCCCCCCAAAGGCATCAGCTTTGTGACTCTGCTGCTGTTGATAGATGCTCCAAAAGTCCCTTGCTCCACGGGAGGAGATGTCAAAGTACGGGACTCTTGTGGAAAATCTTTTCCACATAAACAGAAGCCTGTTGTGGACAGACAGGGAAACAGGGCTTCAGTTTAACTCAGGAGGCAGAGATATCCCAAACACCAACTTTTGGCTAGGTTTACTAAGGTGAGCGTGTGCCTGTGTTCTGTGCATATGACGATGTATGTGTTTGAGCAAAAGAGTATGCACATTCGAATGTGTGTGTCACTGTGGTAATATATTATGTACCCTAATAAAATCTGCCTGAAGATCAGAGAACAGAACAAGCCACTAGATTGAACTCAGAGGCCAGGCAGTGATGGCACACACCTTTAATCCTAGCACTCGGGAGGCAGAGATCCATCTGAATTTCTGTGAGTTCAAAGCCACTCTGGACTACATGAGATTGAGAGAGAAAACAGAGCAAGGCAGTGGTGGCCACACTTTTAATCCCAGCACTTGGGAGTCACACGCCTTTAATGGCTGGGTGGAGAAAGGTATATAAGGCGTGAGGAGACAGGAACTAAAGGCTTCTTCAGCTGAAGAAGCCCTTTCAGCTAGAGAGCCTTTTCAGGCTGAAGAGTCCTAGAGATAAGACGTGGCAGTGACTTGTTCCTTTGTCTCTCTGATCTTTCAGTATTTACCCCAAAATCTGGCTCTGGGTTTTTTATTAGAAAGACTTTTTAGATTTGAGCTACATCTCATGACTAGTTGGGCCGGTCAGACATGTACAATGGAAGAAGCCAGGCTTTCAGCCAGAGAAACTCCGTCGCCCTCCAACCTCCCAGCTCTGTGATCTAAACATTTCTTCTCGAAGCCTGGCCCACCCAGGGCCATGTCTGAGACAGTGCATCTCACTGCCCCCCCCCCACCCCCCCCCACCCCCCCCACCCCCCGGCAGTGTCACTGTGCATCTCCCTGGCCCCCCAGGGCAGTGTCACTGTGCATCTCCCTGGCCCCCCAGGGCAGTGTCACTGTGCATCTCCCTGGCCCCCCAGGGCAGTGTCACTGTGCATCT